GCCTTGCCGAGATCACCTCGGCGTCACGACCAGGACACGTGGCACCTCGGCTGACACGTCGCCGTCACCTTGCCACGTGTTGGTACTCAGAAAATATATCACCACATAATTCAAATGTAGACTTCACGTAATACTATAGATAAAGTGACAAATCATAGGCATTGTCAGTAATAATAATATGAACATAAAAAATCATGGTGATATCACCTTTTAGATTTTGCTGGCACATAGCAAAAATATCATATATAGCAATCATATTTGGTATATATTGCACTTTTAGTAAGATTTTTAGTAAAAGTATTGTATGAAATGATTCAAGAATGTTGTTGGAAAATTTGAACATCTTTGAAGAAAATTCGAATTGTCTAGAAATTATGAGAGGCTTAGATTCTTCAACAGTCACAACTAAGAACACAATAGTAAAGAGATGATGGAGATAAAAGATTGGGTGAAGAAGAAGGCAAAGTAGTTAGAGAGAGAATAATGACAAGGCTCTCCTATGGATCTCCCATTTTCACTCTCAAAGTAGACAACGGAGAAGAGAAATTAGTTCTTTCCCAAGAGTTGTCTCTCCAAAATCCCTCCCTTATAAAGCTATGGGTGAATGCTATTTATAGGCACCTCATAATGTAGAATGGAGCCCATGTGCAAGGCACATAGGGATTATTCTCTCTAACCACCTTGTCCGAGGAGGTGACCTCTCCGAGAATGAGGAAAATCCCGAAGAGGAGATCAACCTCTCAGCGAACCCTTCTTCTTAGCCACACCTAACAATGATCCCCAATCATCCTAAGGGGTCAGGGGTAGTCCCAGAGGACGCCCTGCCACAGAAGGGTCAATGGTAGTTCAAGAGAATGCCCTGCCGCAAATATTGTCGAGTATCAGGGACCCTCTAGATTGTGCCACCTTGACCCAAGTATAAGCTAATTTAACCGAAGAGTGAATTTATCTCCACTCACCATCCTCGGGATCAGGTCTTTTGTTCAGACTCCGTTGCGCCCATGGTTCTGGTATGTAGATCCCGAAAAGCTCCGAGTCCGCAAGTGTTCTGGGATTCATTAATGGAGTGGCTTCTACATCGCGTCTGAATCCGTTTGAAGCCAAGCACTTCAGATCTCTAGATTCGTAGATTTGAAACCTTTCAAGTCCGAGCTCAAATAGGTCTCTAGGTTCGTGGTTCCGAAACCTTTCAAGACTAAACCAATACCTCAGAGAATGGATCTCCTCTAAAGGTTTCATCTCTTCGGAAAGCAACGGTTAATCTTCTGGAACGCCCGTATGATCTGAGTCTCATCAGATGGGCTTGTTGGACTCTCTTTAGAGATATCTGCTTGATGGGTCTTCCTCAACCCAACTTGTTGACTTTCTTATGGGTCCGTTCAATAGAATTCACTTGGCCCATTTGGCAATAATTTCTCTAAGTTCACCAATTTTTTGGGATTTCCGATTGGGTTTCAATTGGGCCTAATTAATTAATGGGCTCAAGTTAACTCCTCTTACAAATATTAGTATTTATAAAATAATAATTATTGTATATTTGATCATAAGAAGTGAAAATGAAAGCATTTAATTAATGTTTTTTTTCTTGTTTTTGGCATGTAAAATGAAAGTGTAACATTTTATATTGAATTAATTTTGTCCATCTATTTTTATACTGATTGAACATAATCTTCCATTTCGATTAGTTGTTTCTTCAATGTGGGTAGGTTGAAGTAGGTGTAGTAAGTCTACTGCGTTGTAAAAATTAATTTCGTCCGGTCATCATTAAATTGAGTAGGTGTAGTGTGTCTACTGCTTTGTAAAAATTAATTTCGTCCGGTCATCATTAAATTGAGTAGGTGTAGTATGCCTACTGTTTTGGAAAATTAATTTCGTCCGGTCATCATTAAATTGAGTAGGTGTAGTATGTCTACTGCTTTGTAAAAATTAATTTCGTCCGGTCATCATTAAATTGAGTAGGTGTAGTATGCCTACTGTTTTGAAAAATTAATTTCGTCCGGTAATCATTAAATTGGGAGAATAAAATTATTTTTTATTATGATTTTTTTTTTTTAATACTACAAAATAAATTAGAATGAGTTGACCCACAGCGGTTCTGCTGTTTTCAAGGAGTCGCCACAAAAATTTGTTTGTCATTTTCACTTTGTCCCATTTGTAATAAGAAGGGCAAATTACTCACACTCACTTTGAGATTTAGTTAAATTATAAATTTTTTTTTTTAAATTTTAAAAATTATATCTCGCCTTTTAAGATTTATATTCGCATAACTTAATCCTTACCGTTAACTAAACATTAAGAATGGTTAGCTAATATCACTAAAATATAAATTGATGGACGATATTGCCTCTACTGAAATCCCTTTGATCAATCAACAAAATTTATAAAAGAATTACGTTAAATGGAAAAAAAAGTTGGAAAATTTAAAAATTTTTAAAGAAGAATTTGAATTTTTTAGAAAATAATGAGAAGTTTAGATTATATGAGGAGTTTAGATTCTTCAATAGTCACAATTAGGAACACAAAAGTAAAGAAATGATGGAAATAAGAAATTATGTAAAAAAGAAGGCAAAATAGTTAGAAAAAGAATAATGGCAAGGCTCTCCCATAAATCTCTCACTTGCACTCTTAAGATTGATAATGGAGAAAGGAAATTAGCTCTTTCCCAAGAATTATCTCTCCAAAATCTATCCATTGTAAAGCTATGGGTGGATGCTATTTATAGGTACCTCATGATGTAGGATGGAGCCCATGTGCAAGGCACATGGAGAATATTCTCTCTAACAATCTTGTCCGTGGAGGTGACCTCTCTGAGGATGAGAAAAATCCCGAAGACGAGATCAACCTCTCGGCGAACCCTTCTTCTTAGCCACACCTAACCAATGATTCCCAATTATGCCAAAGGGTCAGCGGGTAGTCCCAGAGGACGCCCTGCCGCAGAAGGGTCAGGGGTAGTTCAAGAGAACGGCCTGCCACAAATATTGTCGAGTCTCAGGGACCTCCTAGATCGTGCCACTTCAATCCGGGTATAGGTTAGTTTAACCGAAGAGTGAATTTATCTCTACTCACCGTCCTTGGGATCAGGTCCTTTGTTCGGACTTCATCACGCCCATGGTTTTGGTGTGTAAATCCCGGAAAGCTCCGAGTCCGCAAGTGTTCTGGGATTCATTAATGGAGTGGCTTCTACATCGCGTCTGAATCCGTTTGAAGCCAAGCACTTCAGATCTCTAGATTCGTAGATTTGAAACCTTTCAAGTCCGAGCTCAAATAGGTCTCTAGGTTCGTGGTTCCGAAACCTTTCAAGACTAAACCAATACCTCAGAGAATGGATCTCCTCTAAAGGTTTCATCTCTTCGGAAAGCAACGGTTAATCTTCTGGAACGCCCGTATGATCTGAGTCTCATCAGATGGGCTTGTTGGACTCTCTTTAGAGATATCTGCTTGATGGGTCTTCCTCAACCCAACTTGTTGACTTTCTTATGGGTCCGTTCAATAGAATTCACTTGGCCCATTTGGCAATAATTTCTCTAAGTTCACCAATTTTTTGGGCTTTCCGATTGGGTTTCAATTGGGCCTAATTAATTAATGGGCTCAAGTTAACTCCTCTTACAAATATTAGTATTTATAAAATAATAATTATTGTATGTTTGATCATAAGAAGTGAAAATGAAAGCATTTAATTAATGTTTTTTTTCTTGTTTTTGGCATGTAAAATGAAAGTGTAACATTTTAAATTGAATTAATTTTGTCCATCTATTTTTATACTGATTGAACATAATCTTCCATTTCGATTAGTTGTTTCTTCAATGTGGGTAGTTTGAAGTAGGTGTAGTAAGTCTACTGCTTTGTAAAAATTAATTTCGTCCGGTCATCATTAAATTGAGTAGGTGTAGTATGCCTACTGTTTTGGAAAATTAATTTCGTCCGGTAATCATTAAATTGGGAGAATAAAATTATTTTTTATTATGATTTTTTTTTTAATACTACAAAATAAATTAGAATGAGTTGACCCACAATGGTTCTGCTGTTTTCAAGGAGTCGCCACAAAAATTTGTTTGTCATTTTCACTTTGTCCCATTTGTAATAAGAAGGGCAAATTACTCACACTTCTTTTGAGATTTAGTTAAATTATGAATTTTTTTTTAAAATTTTAAAAATTATATCTCACTTTTTAGAATTTATATTCGCATAATAACTTAATCCTTACCGTTAACTAAACATTAAGAATGGTTAGTTAATATCACCAAAATATAAATTGATTGCCTCTGCTGAAATCCCTTTAATAAATCAACAAAAGTTATAAAAGAATTACGTTAAATGGAAAAAAAATTAAGTTTTTGGAACCATATTTGATTTGTTGTTTAGAAAAAAATTTCAGAATTTTTTTTTAAAAAAAAACCTAATTTAATTAAAATAAATATGAAAAAATATATTTAATTTGTAAAAATTATTTCTAATCACGCAAAAGATAAAATTATATAAAAATATAATAGCGACACTTTTCACAATAAAAATATTTGGTCCCCTAAAAATAATTTTGTCCCTAAATTTTAGTCTCTAAAACCTTAATTTTTTTTTGTAGTTTGATAAGTGTTTTTCCATTTTAATTTTGCATTTCATAACTTATTTAAAAATGAAAATTTAGCTAAACCTTAGGGGGAATCTGTAATTTAGCTAAAGCTCAAGGGGGTGTAGGTAATTTGCCCTTATTTGTCAAAAGGGCATTTTAGTCAATGTATGATATCCGTTAACGACGTTAATTGCGATAAGGCGGAATGTAATTTTTAAAACCTTAGGGAAAATCTGTAATTTCGTTAAATCTCAATAGAGATGTAGATAATTAGCCCTAAGAGAAAACAAAGGGCTAGCTGTTAAACATTGATTGAGCATAAATAATAATAGTAATAATAATATGAATGTGCAAAATCATGAATACTTTTTTGAGAAAATTAGTCTAAGGTCCCTCTCTCATTTTTAGTAATGGAAAAGACCAACAATATTATTTTGTGATATCTAAGGTCCCTCAATCCCACACCCATGCATCACAGAAAAAATTTGATTCTCTCAAATCAAACCTCATCTCTCTCTCTCTCTCTCTACGAACTTCTCCATTCTCAGATAGGAGACAACAAGCACAAACAAGGCCGAAAGTCCAAAAACCAACTCCCCGAAACCTTAGATTTCCCAACCACTACTGTCGTCGCCGCCGCCGACATAGCCTCCTCTTTCTCTCCCACTGACAATAATGACATTGTTTTCTCCATTAGCAACGTCGAGCGAGTATGTAGCCATTGTGCTCACTCCCTATGGAACATTTTCTCTCTCATCTCCCTCTCTTTGGTCGAGAGTCTCGTCAGGTTTGAACGCTATGTCTGTTATTGCTACAGCTGTGACTTTCTCTCTCCCCATCTTTCTTTCTCGATCCTTCAAATTTAGCAACAAACGGGTATGCTCTCTCATCTTTCTTTTCCTTTGCTAAATTTTTCTGGGCATCAGTCAATTCTAGAGGAAATTGATCAGTTGAGTTGGGTTTTTTTATATTTTTAGTGGGTAAGTTGGTTTGTTGAATTGTGACTTTGATCATACTACTGAGTTCAAGAAGATATTATTTTTAATTTGTTTCACTATCTGGATGGTCTTTGAATTTTGTGATTAGTCAACTATTGTGTGAATTGTTGAATTTTTTGATTGGTATAAATTTTAGAGTAGAATAGTTGAATAAGCTAAAATAGAGGCCTTCTTCACAGAGACATTTATGAAGAAAATCAGAGAAATTCTCTGTGAACAAAATCAGAGAAAAATCAATTTTCTTTGAATAAAACTAGAGAAATTTGTGAACAAAACTAGAGAAATTTCAATTTTTTTTTGGTTTGAAGCTAGAGTAAATCTCTGAACGTAATGAGGCAAATTTATCTGGTTTTAAGAGAATTTCTTTAGGAAGTCCGGAGAAATTCTAAAAATTTCTTTGTAGGGAATTTTTTTGGAAAGTCCAGAGAAATTTTCTGGATTGAATTTTCTCTGGATCAATTTGAAAGATCTTAAATATTATAAAAATATTAGATATCTTTTATGTTATAAAATCTTAATATCAGTGATCTTAAAAAATATATATATTTTTTTATTCTTTATTTTTTATTTTTTTGGTAAAGAGTAATAGGAAATTCAAAAACATATTTATATTTTAACATAAGATTAAAAAAACTAATTTTCAAAACAATCCTACCTCTTAGTAAAACTCACATGCCTCGTACTAATTTTAAAGATAATAAAATAACTTAATCAAATGTATGTCTTGTCTGTACTCATTTGGCGACAGAGAGCGACTATCTGACAAGTTAGACTGATACACGTTGACATTTATCCATAGAGAAAATTAAATTATGGTGGTAGAAATTATATAATTAAATTAGTGAACAACGAAAAATATCTATTCAATTTTATTTATAATATTTTATTGATTGATAATAGCATTTAATGGTAGATATTATATAGTTAAATTAGATGATGTACATCCTGCATGGTCAAGAAACTTTGAATGGGTTGCAGGAATGTTATACATTGTAATAATTTTTTTTTTTCTTTGTGTAAAATAAATAATTTAAAATAAATCAAATAAATAAAAATAAATTATTTATAGAATTTATTTTACCGAAATGAATAAGTACAAAAATAGATCAAGTCGAGCGTATGATACTCTATCCTTAAGACAGACTCGTCCCGCTTCGATGCTTACCGATTAAATGACGTTTATCTTTCAGGATATAATGATCTTTCACAGATTGTATTAACACTAAAAACATCTGTTTCAGCGAACTAGAATCTGTGTTCTATACTCTCAAATATTTTTCTAAAAAACTAGAATGAAGAATAATACAAAGAGAGAGCAAAACTGGGAAGACAAATGAAAATTTTGGATCTAAGAAATGCAAAACCGGGAACCCAAACTACTATGAAAATATTGCATGTCATCTATTTTATAAAATCCTAATATAAAGAACCTTAAATTAAAGACGCCAATTTTATTAATGAAGGGCCAAAGTAATTGATTTCATTTTACCAAATTTCTCTCCAACTTAATTCACCATTAAGAGATTGAACTATCTTAAATCTTAATATTCTCTCTAGATGCTTTTAGATTTTGTATCATTTCAAGTTTTACTTCAATTGTTGGTTAATTTTACTTAAAAAACTGAAATCTCTAAAATTGAATTGATTGTTGCATGTTAAATAACAGAATATATTGTTTATTTAATCATACTTCCAAGAAAGTATAAAAGAATTAATTAAATCATAATTAAGAGGTCTTAGTTCAATTTTTCGATTAAAAATGCAAGAATCGTAATGTTTAGGGGATGCAGTGATATAGTTCATTCAATTTTTTTTTTTTTTTTTTTTTTTTTTTTTTTTTGGGTTTTTGGTTTTTTTTTCAAGTTTTTTTTTTTTTTTTTTTTTTTCTGTTGCTGAAAATCTCCAAAGTCAAAATTTGAAAAGTTATTTAGGGTTCGTTTGGCAAGAAGAGTTTGGGGCTTTTTTGGCTATTTTAGCTACAAAAGACAAAATAGGCTATTTTAGCCACAAAAAACAAAACATCACATCCAACCCATAATCATTACACTCTTCTCTCACAAAAAAAGTCAAAAAAGCCAAAAAGCCAAAAAGCCCTTCCCAAACCAAGCTTTTTAGCCCAGGCTAAAATAGCCAAAAAAGCCAAAAAACCAACCCACTTCCCAAACGGAGGCTAGATTTTATGCTTAAAATTTTTTATAATAACTTTTTAAAATTGATTTTATATTCTTAAGTGATAGATAAAAATATAAAGTCTCATGTTAGGTATTCACCTTGGGCCCTTGAATATTCAGAGCCGCCCCGCTGGAACATATCATTCGGCCATTTTAGACTAATGAACAAAATTATTTCTCACCATGACTGCTTTGTTTTTGGTGAAAAATAAATTACAAAGGGTTGGACCACAAACTTCTTCTTGTTTTCTAGGGTTGAGTAACCAATTTGTGAAATTTGTAATTTGATTCGGTCTGGTTCAATTCAGTAAGTTTGAATTGATTTTTTGAATTCGTGGTTCAGTTCTAGATTGAAAAACTAAAAATTCGTAATCCATGGATCAGTTCCAAATTGAATCCCATGGTTTCGGATTGGAACCAATACGGGCAATATATAAATAGCCTATATATATATATATATATTATACACCCTCTCGGAATAGTATCTTTTCTTCCATATAAAACCTAAATCCATATAATATCTTCTTTTATTACTTTTGTTTGTTAGTTCACTGCAAGAAAAATAGGTTTTAACGGCGTTTTTTTAACGGCGTTTTTTTAAACGCCACTTTTTTTAATTTTTAATGGCGTTTTATAACTGCCACGTATTTGTTAACCAAAACGGCACCGTTTTATAATTGAAAACGCCTCCAAATGCGGTAGGCACACGCGCGTCCTCCGTCCTTCCTTATTTTGAATCTCAGCCCTTCATAAGGAATTTAGAATCCTCCACCAAGCTTCTAACAGAAGGCGACACCACAGAACCTTCTTGCAATAACTCAATCACAGAATAGGAATCTGTTTCAATGGTAAGGTCTTTATATCCCTTCTCAAAAACTATAGTAAGGCCTCAGTAAATTGCCCAAAGTTCCACCTCCAAACTGGAACAAACATCAAGCTTCTTATAGTAGCCAATGAGCCAAATTCCTTTCTCATCTCGAACAAGACCACCAAAGCCTCTTGCTCCCGGGTCAACATTTGTATAGCGATCCCGGTTTTCCCTCTTTTGTTTATTGTATTCTGGACTCAATTCTGTGGATGTATGTTGTTGTCTTATTCTTGTTTCCATCCTTTGATTCCTTGTATTTGAGTCTTGGGGTGTGTTGGGCAGGTTCGAAACAGGTTGGTTGGGTGTTGGAACAAATGGCTGCTGTCCAATTTTTGGTTTCTTCGCTCGAGCGAGGACTTTGTCGCTCGAGCGAGCCTTGTGTTTTTTCTTCTTTGCTCGAGCGAGGGTTTGTACGCTCGAGCGAGTATTGTGGGTCTTCAGGTTTTCTTTTCAGACGCAGCTTTGGCTCAAGCGAGCTTTTCTTCGCTCGAGCGAGCGGTCCTTCGCTCGAGCGTGCATCTACTTCTCTTTTGGACCTGAAGGTTGTTTTTCTTGGCTCGAGCGAGCGAGGACTTCTGCACTCGAGCGTGCTTTTGGGTTGCAGACCTGAAGATTCGTGTTGTTCGCTCGAGCAAGGCTTTGTGCGCTCGAGCGAGGTTTGTCTGTGTCTGGTCGCTCAAGCGACCACTCCTTCGCTCGAGCGAGCCTCGAGTATATCAGTTACAGCAGCATGTTTCTTCTTCACTTTTTACTCTTTTTACTTCCAAACTCTAGACCCTCTCTCTCTCTCTACATACTTCTTCTCTCTACAAATATCCTTGGTTCTTGGGTGTGTCTACCCTAATCTCTTTGTAAGAAATGTGGAGCTTGGTGCGGGCTACACTTTGATCCGAAAAATTTATACTTTGGAGCACTTTCGAGTTTCTTCATCTTCTCCTTTGGGATATTAACTTCGAGGTAGGGATGATCTACTACTTCTTATGAGTTTTAACATAAATATTAGTCATTTAGTATAGATGTTGAGATTTGGTGATTTGGGAAGCTAGGGTTTGAGGTTTGTGGTATATAAGAGAGGGTTTTTGTGTTTTTAGGCTCCATATGTATAAGAGGTCTTGAAAATGAGGTTTTGTGGGTTTGATAGGTGAGATTTGGTCTTAGGATCAATGTTTGAGAAAAATGGGGAAATGCCCTAATTGAATTTAAATAATTAATTTGTATAATTAATTGCATAATTGTGAGGAATATGAAATTGATTTGAACATCATGAAATTGGATGGAATTTGGACTAATTGGTGTGGTCGGTTTGATAAATCACTCACCTACGAAAAATGTGATAATTTATTTGTTTGGTAAATTCATTTATCTGTCTAGAAATAACTGCTTTGGGCTATCGGTAGAGGATAGTCTTGATTGTTGTAGAACTGCATGATGATTAGGTAAATTGAAACTAATCAATTGAAATATGTCATTAAATATGATAGTGGGAAGAACACATTGAATATGTGCCTTAATTGATCATGGTATAAGATAAAGACTTTAATACATTGTATATGTATCTTTGTTTGGGAGGAGATAGGGGATGCACTCCATTGTTTGGGAGAAGATAGGGGATGGACTCCATAGATAATTAAGTTGGCCGGAGTGTCCAAGGTGTAAGTCCCGAAATCTTATAAATTAAAGTGCATGAATGAAGTTGACAATTGAAGTGTTAATTACATGAGTTGTAGTCTCATTATGAATCGGTTATAATTGAAGTGTTAATCACATGAGTTGTAGTCTTATTTAGAATTGTGGATGACGGAAGTGTTAATAAGATGAGTTGCAGTTTTATTTAAATCG